ACCACAAACCACAACCACACCACCAAACACCACACCCCACAACCCACCCAACCAAACACCACACAACACACCAACACACCACAAAACACCACAACCACAAAACAAACAACCAAACACACCACAAACAACACCACACCAACAAACCAACACCACCACAAACCCCACCACACAAACCACAAACACCACAACAACACAAACACCCAACACCAACACCACAACAAACCCCACAACACCCACAAAACCACCCAACACACCCCACCACAACAACCCAACAAACCACCCAACACAACACCAAACAACCACACCACACCACAACACCAACAACCCACCACAAACACAACACAACCCAACACCCACCACAAACCCACACAACCACCCAACACACCACACCAACACCCACACAACACCACCCCAACACCCACCCAACCAAAACCACAACACCAAACACACCCACCACAACAACACCACCAAAACACACCACACCCACCCCAACCCACCCACCACACAACCACACACACCCCAACCCCACAACACCCAACCACCACAAACCACACCCCCCACACCCCAACAACAAACAAACCCACCCACCAAAACCACAACCACCCAACACCCACAACACCACCAAACAACCCAACACAACCAACACCACACACACCCACAACCCAACACCCCACCACAAACACACCCCACAACCCACCACCCCACCCACAACACCACCCACACCAAACCAACCACCAAAAACACAACCAAAAAACAACCAACAAACAAAACACAACAACAAACCCACAAACACACAACAAACAACCAAACACAACCAAAACAACACCAACCAACAAACCACCAACCCCACAACCCACCACACCACAACAAACCAAACACCCACCAACCAACCAACAACAAACAACAACACCACAAACAAAAACACACAACCAAACAAAACAAACAAAACCACAACAACACCACAAACAACAAAACAAACAAAACACAACAACAAACAAAACACACAACAAACACAAAAACAAACACAACAAAAACACCAAACAACACAAACCACACCAAAACAACAACACAAACAAACCAAACACAAACAACACACAACAAACACAAAACAACACAAACAAAAACACAAAACCACAACACAAAAACAACCCACACACAAACAACACAAAACACCAACAAACAACACAAAACCAAACAAAACAACAACACAACAAACACCAAAACAACAACAAACACAAAACAACCAAACACAACAAAAAAACACAAACACACAACAAACCAAACAACAAAACAAACAAAACAACCAACAAAACAACAAAAACAAACCACAAAACAACAACACAAAACAACCAACAAAACACCAACAAACAACACAAAACAAACAACCACAAAAACACAACCACAACACCAAACAACACAAAAAACAACAAAACACACAACAAACAAACCAAAACACACACAACAAACACAACAACAACCACAACACAAAACAACACAAACAACCACAACACCAAACAAAAACACAACACACACCAAAACCACACCACAACACACCCACCACAACAAACACCAACACACCCACACAACCAACCACAAACCACACAACACCAACCACAACACAACCACAACCACCCACAACACAACCCACACCACCCACCAACACACCACACCCAACCACCACCAACACCAACACACACCACCAACACCACAAACACCACAACCAACACCACAACCACACAACAAACACACCACACAAACACCACCCCACACCACCACAACCACACACACCACACCAAAACACCACAACCCAACCACACCACAACCACCACCACACACCACACCACCAACCACACCACCAACCCACCACACAAACCACACCCACCCACAACACACCACACCCCACACACCACCCACAACCACACACACCACACCACACCCACCAACCCCCACACCAACCACCACACACCACCACCCACCCCCACCACCACACCACCCAAACCCACCCCACCCAACCACCACACACCACCACCACCAACACCAACCCACCACCCACCACACACACCAACACCCCACAACCAACACCACAACCACAACACCAACACAACCCACCCACAACACCACCCACCACACCACACCCAACACCACCCACCACCCCACCACCCACACCACACACCCAACACACCACCACAACACAACACACCCCACCCAAACACACCCACAACCACACACACCCACCCCCACCCCAACCACCAACACCCACCAACCCACCCACCCACCCCACACCACACCCACACCACCCAACCCACCCCCACAACCACCCCACCCACCCCCACCCCCACACACACCCACCCCACCACCCCCCACCCCACACACACCCACCCCACCCCACACACACCCCACCCCCCCCACCCAACCCCACCACCCCCCCCACCCCACCACCACCCCACACCACCCCCCACCCACCCACCCCACACCCACCCACCCCACACCACCCCCACCACACCCACCCCCAACCACCCACCCCACCCACCACCCCCCAACACACCCCCCCCCACCCCACCACCCCCACCCAACACCCACCCCCCACACCAACCCACCCACCCCACCCACCCCCCCACACCCACACCACCACCCCCACCACCACCCCACCCCCCACCCCCACCACCCACCACCACCCCCCACCCCACCCACCCCACCACACCACCCACACCCACACACCCCACACACCCCCCACCCACACCACCCACACCCCACCACCCCCCACCCCACCACCCAACACCACCCCACCCCACACCCACCCACCCCCACCACCACACCCACACCACCCACACCCCACCACCCACACCCCACACACCCCCACCCACACCCCACCCCACCCCCAACACCACACACCCACCACACCACCCCCAACCCACAACACCACCCACACCAACACCCACCCCCACCACACCCACAACCACCCACCCACACCACCACACCACAACCCAACCACCCACACCCCACCCCCAACACCCCACCCCACCACAACCACACACCACCACCACAACCACCCAACCACCCACACACCCCCCCCACCCCCACCCCCACCACCCACCCCACCCCCCCACAACACCCCACACACCACCACCCCACACCACCCCACCCCACAACCACCCACCCCCACCACCACCCCCAACCCCACCCACCCACCCCCACACCCACCCCCCACACCCCACCCCCACCCACCCACAACCCACCACCCACCCACCCCCCACCACCACCCACCCCCCACCCCCACCACACCACCCCCCACCCCCCACCCACCCCCCCACACCCCCACCCCCACCACCCCACCCCACACCACCCCCCCACACCACCCCCACCCACCCCACCCACCCCCACCAACCCCACCCCCACCCACCCCACCCCACCACCCCACCCCACCCCCCCCCACCCACCCCCCACCCCACACCCCCCCACCCACACCCCCACCCCCCACCCCACCCCCCCCACCCCCACCCCCCACACCCACCCCACCCACCCCACCCCACCCCCCACCCACCCCCCACCCCCCCCACACCCCCACCCCCACCCCCCACCCACCCCACCACCCCCCACCCCACCCCCCCCCACACCACCACCCCCACCCCCCCCACCCCCCCCCCCCCACACCCCACCCCCCCCACCCCCCCACCACCCACCCCCCCACCCCCCACCCCCCCACACCCCCACCCCCCCCCACCCCCACCCCCCACCACCACCCCCCACCCCCACCCCCCCCACCCCCACCCCCCCCACCCCACCACCCCCCCACCCCACCCCCACCCCCCCCACCCCCACCCCCCACCCACCCCACCCCCCCCACCCCCACCACCCCCCCACCCCCCACCCCACCCCCCACCCCCACCCCCCACCCCCCACCCCCCCACCCCACCCCCCACACCCACCACCCCACCCCCACCCCCCCCCACCCCACCCCCCCACCCCCCCCCCACCCCCCCCCCACCCCCCCCCCACCACCCCCCCCCCCCCACCCCCCCCACCCCCACCACCCCCCCCACCCCACCCCCCCCACCCCCACCCCCCCCCCCCCACCCCCCACCCCCCCCCCCCACACCACCCCCCACCCCCCCACCCCCCACCACCCCCCCACCCCCCCACCCCCCCACCCACCCCCCCCCCCACCCCCCACCCCCCCCCCACCCCACCCCCCACCCCCCCCACACCCCCCCCCCCCCACCCCCCCCCACCCCCCACCCCCCCCACCCCCCCCACCCCACCCCCCCCCCCCCACCCACCCCCCCCCCACCCCCACCCCACCCCCCCCCCCCCCCCACCCCCCCCCACCCCCCCACCCCCCCCCCCCCCCCCCCCCCACCCCCACCCCCCCCCCCCCCCCACCCACCCACCCACCCCACCACCCCCCCCACCACCACCCCCCCCCACCCACCCCCACCCCACCCCCCCCACCCCCACCCCCCCCACCACCCCCACCCCCCCCCACCCCACCCCCACCACCCCCCACCACCCCCCACCCCCCCACCCCCCCACCCACCCCACACCCCCCCCCACCCACCCCCACCCCACCCCCCACCACCCACCCACACCACCCCCCACCCCCACCCCCCACCACACCCCACCCACCCCCCCACCCCCACCCCACCCACCCCCCCACCCCCCCACCCACCCCCCACCCCCACCCACCCCACCCCCACCCCACCACACCCCCCCCACCACCCCCACCCCCCCACCCCACCCACCCACCACCCCACCCACCCCCCCCACCACCCCCCCCCCCCACCCCCCACCCACCCCACACCCCCCCCCCCACCCACCCCCCCACCCCCACCCACCCCCCCCAAACCCACCCCCCCCCCCCCACCCCCCAACCCCACACCCACACCCACACCCCCCCACCACACCCAACCCACCCCACCCCACACCCACCCCCCCACCCCACACCCCACCAACTCCCGAGGCGGAGACACCGGAGGAGAAGGTCAAGGCGGTGGATCACGAAGATGGGATCACGCACTTCAAGACTCTGCATACGTGAGTTGACAGTTGAATCATCTGGTTCCCGCTGGATGGGTGACTTTAGCTAACCTAGTGCAGAGAATGGGTAGATCTCTCTCTTGATGATGGAGACAGGCTCCCGCCAAGTCAGAACCCGGAGGAACCGATGTTGCTCGCAGTCTGGGTGGACGACGTGTCACATCACCCGCCATCGGCCAAACTTCTGAGCCAGAGTCGGCAGCTCGCATATGCTGCGAAAGGTGAGCTTCTTCCGTTTACCTGATGTCGGTACCGGAGGGAATGCGCTGAAGGCCAGTCTGGGACGAGTCAGAGCTCTTAGCCCTCGAAGCCGAAGAAGAGACCAAGAAGGGCTGGTGAGTTGCTAATCTCTGCATGTGTTGTCTCAAAGCTGACCAGTCAGGGGCAACGCCTGCGACCCTGCGCTCAACCGTGACTTTGGTCAAGACGTACTTGCGGCGGTTCAGCGAAACAACGCGCAGCAGGCAAGCTTTATCGATGAGCCTATGGTCTACGCCGATCCATGCAAACACCCGGAGCACCTTCGTCAGGTACGTCGTGCACGTTTGGAGATGCGCGAAGTTAGGCTGATAGATCAGAATGGGGAGATGATCATGAAGGAGGAATCGTCGGTGCGGGGCTTACTTCCCCTGGCATCTCTGAACTCGGTAAGCTAGCTCTTCCGTGGTCTATCCAGGAATGTATCCAGCTGACAACTCAGCCATTAGGAGGAGGAGAGATCATCGGCCCCACCACCGTCGGGCGCAAAGGTCAGTCATCGCGTCCTTCCCGATCTGCCAAGAAGAGCGCATAGCTGACCTTCCAGCCATCGCGCCCTACATGCCCTGGTCAGCCAAGACCGAGCACCGTCTCTGGTGGCGCGGCAACGCCCACTCCGCCTTCTACTACGATAAATGGGACTGGCGCGCTGGGCAGCGACTCCGCCTGTCGGACTTTGCGAGCGGGCGGCGAGAGCGAATGGAGGCGGAGATGGCGGGCGGGATGGGAATGAGTGCGGAGGAGAGGGGGAGCCCGGTCCTGCTGGAGCGGGAGGAGAGGGTGCGACGGGAGTGGAGAGAGAGGGAGGTCTTGAGGGAGACGTATTTGAATGTGTCGCTTATTAGCACGGTGAGCATGGGTTCTGAAGGTTCGGCCGTGTACGAGACGAGTGTAGCTGATTTCGATAGCAACGAGCGTGGTCGGTGAGCTGATGGTCACTGTCCCGCGACAAGGGTATCAAGCTGACGGCGCAGTGTGGCGGACACTACGCACACGTCTTCTTTTGCAATACCGAAGATGGCCGACCGAACGCTACTTGTCCCCAGGATAAGGCATGCGACGCGGTCATGGATGCGGAATATGACTTTGCGCCTTATGCTGATAAAGCGTACGAGTTGAAGTGAGTCGGGCTCACCTCTTCAGAACTTTGAGTACGATGGGGACGGATAATAGCTGACTGGTCTTTTAGGCACAAGTTTCGCCTGGATATCGATGGGTTTGGGTGGACTACAAGGTGGCGGGAAGAGCTGTCCAAGAACAACGTGGTCATCAAGATCACGCTCTATGTGAGTTGACGCTCCCCCTCATGCGTTGCAAGAGGAAATCAGCTGATATTTCAGCCCGAGTGGTGGACCGTAAGCTGAATCAAAAAGCCTGCCCAGATCTGAAGCTGATCATTTAGCCGCAAGCTATCCCCTGGTACCATTACATACCCGGCTCATACACCTTCAACGACCTATACGACATCATGGCCTTCTTTACCGGTACACCCGAAGAACGTGCCGGAGAGATCAGCGAGAAACGACGTGTGGTACTTGTTGAGCGAGACAAGATGGCCGAGGAGATCGCAGCGAGAGGGAGGGAGTTTGCGATGACTCGTTTGAGGTGAGCTTTGCTTCGAGGGATGACGCTGACGTGCAGATATGAAGATATGAGAGTGTACATGTTCTTACTGCTCCTCGAGGTGAGCTATACTCTCCTTAGCGTTCTGCGACGGGATCCCATGCGCTGACTTATACAGTATCGACGTGCGTGGTCGGATGATCGGAAGGCGGCGACATTCAAGCTGGACTAAGTGACTTTGGGATTACATGGGAGGCTCGGCAGTCGGAGTATACTCGTGATTAGATGTGTAGAATAGACATTATGCAGAGGGATCTCCAGGGCCCAATGGACTTGGCTTGTACCATCGTTTCACTCGTTGAGGACTAAGAACGACAAGACAGCCAGCTGAAAGTGAAACGAACGCACGGACTTCGTCCTGGCAGCTCTCACCATCCAAAACCTCTAATCTGATGAGATCCTTACTTCGCTCTGCAACTTACCATCATCCTGCACTATGTCGTCCCGCAAATCCCCCCCTTCCCCCATCGAATCATCATCCTCCAACAAAATCCAAAATCAAAACCGCAATCGCTCCCGCCCGCCCTCTCGGACCCCGTCCCACGCGCACTCGCACTCGCAAACAAGCGCCCAGGGGGGTTCAGACGATGAGATCCCCACATCCACGCTGCGGGCTCGGAACGTGACTGGGACGAGCATGCGGGAGTTTCCGCCCTCGCCTAGTACGCCGAGAGCTGGGGGTCGGGAGGGGAGCGGAGAAGGAAGAGAAGGGAGAGACGGAAGAGAAGGGGGAGGGGTAGCGGGTGGGAATGGAGGTGGAGTGGGAAATTGGAGGTTGCCTGGTGTGAAGGGGACTATGGGCGGGATAGGTAAGTCCTCGTCGATGACATCAGGGGGCTACAGAAGACGAGGCTCTGGTCGCTGAGCCGTGTGAGAAGTTGAGCATGGCTGACTTTGCAGCATCACCTGGTCGTTCCCAATTCCCATCATCGCCAGCTTGGTCCCCCGCTCCATCAAACGTGCGTCACTTGCGCGGGACTCTGTCTGCTGAATCACGCCCAGCTAACTCTCAGGCCGTACAGCAACGTCGCCCAAATGGAGAACAAGCACAACCGCCCCGTCCACCTTTAACATTCCGGACCGACCCAACGATCAAGTCATGCCTCGACACCCTCCCTCTTGACTCGCGAGACGAGCTGCGGCGGATGTTTGGCGTCTCATAGCCAGCGAGACCCCGTCTGAGCTGTGCTCTAGCGTACATTTGTAGATAGATACATCAGACTAGTATTGTCCATACTGCCACACATCGTCCATTTTCACCTTATATCATCATCGCCCCCAGCACCACACCCACCGCTCCCAGTGCACCCGCTGCCCATACACCCGCACCTCCCGCTCCGACTCGTGACGCCCCATTCAACTTGCTCTGCGTGACGTTCGCCGCTGCCGCTGTTCCTGATGCCTTTGAGCTACCTGACGCGCCGGAGCCAGAAACGACGGCGGTAGACGCCGGAACGACGGTGTTGGTCGGTGCGGACACGCCGTTGAGCTGGGCGGCGAGCGCGAAGGGGGCGTTGGAGTTTGAGTCGTAGTAGTCGAGCAAGATGATGTTGGGGTTGCGGCTGCCTTGTCAGCTTCTTCTTCAGGACAGACGACAGAGACGAGCAACTCACCCCCAGATAGCCTTGCAGTTATCGACGTGCGCGCCGATACTACCGTACCCTGATGCGGCGTTGGTGACGTTCAGCTTGTCCCGTGCGGGTACCCAAAGCTGCGTTCCGGCCAGCATGTAGGTCTGGGGTATAAGCTTGGTGACTACAATTCCATCCTGCTAACTTACGGTGTCAAGGTAGTGGTTGACCAGCATCAGGGTGGACGAAGGCGAAGCCTGTGATCTGTTGACCGCACAGCCGAATGTCTGGTCCACAGCATCTGATCCATCAGCTTCCACTTCATTCAGATCGAGGATCAAGAAGAAAACAACTAACTGAAAGGATCCTCCCACATATTCGTAAACTCATCAATGAGATATGGTGCCACCGAGGCATCCGCCCCATTGTCCAAGAATACGACTACCCGCTTTCCACTGTCAATCATCGAGCCCAGTGTAGGCCAGTCGTTCAAGGATGCTTGCGGGGATGAGGGGACAAAGGCGTAGCTGTCCAGACCGGCGGATGAGAAGGCTGAGGCGAAGCGAGAGGCGGGTTGATTATCGCTGTTGACAATGACGAGGGTAAGGACTGAATGTCAGCCCGGCGCGACGATTGATCAAGGGTGAGGTCTGGAGGAGGAGACGGGAGGGGGCAATAGCGGCGAGAACTTACCCTCGTTCGGGTTGGCTTTGACCCATGATGTTACGGTCGTCAAGTAGTTGACGAGCAATCCACCATCTTGCAGAGCCTGAAAGGGTCAGCTTGAGCCGTGTGTACTCGGACGGTTGCCTAACGCACGCATGATCCATGGCAGAGCCGTATCCCGTCAGAAGCGGTATGTCTGGCAAGATCAGCTTCTACGTCTCGGCTCGCGATATGCTCAGTCCGTTAGCTCACGCTTGCGACTGTAATGTCCGGATCCCATCATTCTACCAGATCAGCTCCAAGCTCTCTCCTGTTTGACACAAGCGCCAGCTCACCAATTGTGATGTAATATCTTTGTTCTGGTTGTTCGCCAGGTTCTGCCCAACTGAATAAGAGTTGTGCGCCCCGATGAACGTCACAGTCGAGTACTTGCGCGTGCATAAGGCTGCTTGGCCATTACAGACTGACGCGCCGAGAACCGAGGCGGAGAGGGATGAGAAGAGGGTAAGGGCGGCGAGGAGATGCATTGTGCGTAAAGTGACCAAGGAGGGGTGGCGAGGAAAGGTATGTAGGATGTAGAGGGACGATCGAGGTGTGATTCTTCTTTTCGATCCGTTAGATAGATGAGAGGATGCTATGCGATGACCGACCAGCGGTGAGGCAGTGCTTTGGTCCGAGATTTATGGAGATCGAGATCGAGGGCCGAACCGAGCTGAGCTGACCGAGCCTAAGACGAGGACGCGAGGGGAAACGAGGTCCTTTGCTCGCGGTTTCGGGGATAGTAATCTGTTGGTGGTGTGTATAAGGCGTCGAGCCGATAGTCACGATGTATGCGGTGAGGTAGGTAAGAGGGTATGGTCGATGAGGAAAAGAAGCAAAGAGGTTGTTGTGTTTCAGTTGCTGTGCGATGCGAGGAAGGTTTAAACCGCAGTCTGCGACCGACGCGACTGCTTTTCCCTGACATTCCCGAGCCTATCTTGGCAGGCTGGCATCACGCCTATCTCCCGCTGCTACCCGCAGCATTTCTGCTGCATCGATACCTGTTCGATGTGTTACCTCTTACGCTCTGAGGTGATGCTACGTTGTGCGGTGCTCCTGAAGTACACGGTCGCAAAGGTATTCAACATCGGCAAGAGGGGTCCTCTGCCTTACGACATCGTCTCCACCCGTACCACCACAGGAAAGATCTCGCCCTCGCTCAACTCGCGACTCGGGCTCCGCAGCACCTTGATGAACTTGTTGAGAAGGGACGAGTGGCTCGTGATGCTGATGCCTGCTCATCAGCTCATCCATCTACATGTCCTCACTCCACCTGTAGCTCATCCTTACGGATGAGAAATGAAAAACTTAGAGGCCTGCCCCTCACTGTCCCGCATGATCTCCCCCAATGCCTTCCCGGCCCGGACGTACATCTCCTCCTCCGTCTCCCGATCCCTCGTCTCACGCCGCATCAGCTCAGCGGGAGGCTGTGTATCGGAGAGATCATACCGGCAGTCCAGGCCGGGCTGCCACCATGGGTCCGACTCGGGCATCTGGGAAGGGCAGATGAGGCGGGGGTGCTCTGCTTTGAGAAGGGAACGGGCACGGCGGGCGTTGCAGAGGTGGACGTGGAGTTTCTCACGTAGAGACTTGCTGGTGAGCATGGACCACTGATATACCTCCACCAAGAAGGAGTGACCTGGACCAGCTTGACTACTCACCTCGACGGCCGTGGCTCCGGCGGGTCGGGCCAGCCCTGCGCCGCCCCAGACAGCCTCCCATGTCTCGACTGCTCGCTTGGCAGGGCTGACAAAGTGCTTCGGGAGGGGGATGCCCTTGGCTCGCTCAGCGTCAACGACCCTCACGAGCGCCTTGGCTTGGGCCTGACCTTTGGGTGAAAGGCCGGGATCGAAGAGCGGATGGTGTCGCCCGATCTGAGTATCAGCGCTTACGTCCGACCCATGATGACGAGCAGGATGAGCGATGTGCCATGGATGTTGGAGCTCACCCTGCGCATCTCCGTGCGGTGCTCTTTGGGCGTGAGCCGGTGCTTCTCGTGTATGTGCAGCTCTACCATCGCGTTGTGTCTGCCTCATTTGTCAGCTAATAATGGAGATACCTGGGTTCTTGGGAAATCGAACGTACGACTAAAAGGAGACACGGATATTACAGGACTCGCACCTGCATCTTCGATGTACTGACTCTTGTACTAAACATCCCTGGGTGGAGTCGGATATATGTAGGCTATATACTCCAAAGCTCCCCCTATTCCGTAGTCCCAAGATAGGCTGTCTGCTAGCGCTATCGGACTGCCGGAATACCTTTATAGCCGGAATTATCCCTTGCGGAATTTCATCCGGACGCTCATCCACATGGCGTTCGTGTTCGACTGGGGTTCTCAACGCCCCTTCCTACCGCCGGGCCTATCACCACCGCGCTGGGCGTGGATCGCTTAGGCGCGCAAACGGCAAAAGTCTCAAGTAATATCCGCCACTTGGGAAATCGAACGTACGACTAAAAGGAGACACGGATATTACAGGACTCGCACCTGCATCTTCGATGTACTGACTCTTGTACTAAACATCCCTGGGTGGAGTCGGATATATGTAGGCTATATACTCCAAAGGGGTTTGGGGTCTCGCTCACCTTGACAGTGTCGAGCGACGAGGAGGAGCTTGATGGCGATGTTCGGCGGGCAGTTCGCTTGTGCGTCTGCGGGGGACGTCAGCGTTCATCTATTGGCCAATGATAGAGCCAAGGAGCGAGTTGACGTACCCGCAAGAAGGCCTAGGAACGCCGACCAGGAGCCGCACAAAGGCGTGAGGGCCTGCTCAGGCTATATCGCGGATCAGCGCCGTTCGGGGACAAGTGCGAAAAGAGGCTTACTGTCGTGTCGGGCTTGAACTCAGGAAAGAAGCCTGGTAAAGTGGAGTAGCTGAACGACATGCTGATTTGGAGCGGCAGAGATAATCAAGGTAAGAAGGTGATGAAGAGGCTTGGGGGGGGAAATTTCGTTGGGAGCGTATGTCGTGCTCAGACGAACCTTTCCAGCTCGGCATCGCGAGCAAGGGGACTGGCGATAAAGGAACGCTTGACGAGGTAAGAGGATCAAGAGGCGCGCTCAAGTATGTGTATGACCCGCCTCCTATACTACCCATATGGACCGATGAAAGGCCGATCAGACAGTCCCTACTGCTGCCGCTTGCCTGAACCTCTGTCAAGCATTGCGATCTATGCTCTTGCTCGGCGCTCTGACGTGCACGTGCTCGAGTGAGGACCCCTAACACCCTTATCTCAAGGTCATACATACATCGTCGTAAAAGGACCTCCATCCCTTTCACGCCTTTGTCTCCACCCGGACCACCAGGGGACAGATCTCGCCTTCCCTCAGTTCCCGACTCGGACTGCCCAGGACCTTGAACAGCTCTTTGAGGAAGTACGAGTGGCTCGTGATGCTGACGTCTACTAATCAGCGCTTGCACTTTCTCTTCTCTCCCCTGTATCCAGACTTCGTAGAGCAAGCGACACTCACAAGCTTGTCCCTCACTGTGCCGCATGATCTCTCCTAACGCTGTCTGGGCGCGGCTGTACATCTCCTCCTCAGTCTCTCTGCCTCTAAGCTCTCGCTGCATCTGCTCGGCAGGTGGTTGGGTATCCGACCGTTCATACCGACAGTCCTCGCCGGGCTGCCACCATGGATCCAGCTCGGCCATTTGAGGCGGGCAGATAAGACGGGCATGATCGGCTTTGAGGACCGAGAGGGGCCGGCGCGCGTTGCACAGGTGGACGTGCAGCTTCTCACGGAGACCCTGCTCGAATCAGCCAACTCCTGAGCGGTCAAGCAGAAAAAGACCAAGACGAGTCTGTCGCTGACCTCGAGGACCATCGGTCCAGAATGCCCTACCGCGCCCGCCGGCGGGGTGCCCCATGTAGCTTGCCACGTCTCCACCGCACGCTTAGCGGGGCTGACAAATTGCATGGGGACCGGCATCCCTTTCATCGTCTGATCCTTTACGGCCTCCGCGAGAGCCTTGGCTTGATCCTGTCCCTTGGGAGAGAGGCCAGGGTCGAAGAGCGGGTGGTGTCGGCCGATCTACAGGTTTAGCGCTGGAAGTCGCAATTGCTCGAGCTCGCAACCTGTATAGGGCCAAGCTATAGTAGGCTGAGACATCGTGTGGAGAAGTAAGGCTCACCCTCCCCATCTCCTTGCGGTGCTCCGTAAGCGTGAACCCATGGTTCTTTGGAATATGCAGCTCGTCCATTGCGTTGTGCTCGCCTTGTGCGTCAGCCAGTACGACCAGTAGGCAGCGACTATATACTCACCTTGACAGTGTCGTGCAACGAGGAGAAGCTTGATGGCAACATTCGGCGGACAGTTCGCTTGTGCGTCTGCAGAAATGGTCAGCCGGGGGGCAACGAGCAACGTGCGGACCAAATAGCCGGAGGAGACATACCAGCGAAGAGGGCTCGTAGCGCAGGCCAGTCGCCGCACACAGGCGTAAGAGCCTGCTCGGGCTACACGGGTAGTCAGTACCGTTTCAGAACAAAGGCTTGGGAAGGACATACTGTAGCATCGGGCATGTAGTCGGGGAAGAAACCTGGTAAAGTCGAGTAGCTGTATGCCATCTTAATCTGAGGCGATAGATCTCAGTATGACGAGGAAGAACGAGGAGAGGAGGGGCAGACATGAGCAAGGCCCGCGCAGTCTATGTCGTGAGACGGCTGCGTCATCTCCCTTTGAGGTTTGGCACCCGTGAGCAAGGAGGATGGAAGAAAGGAGCGCTCGACGAGATAAAACTTATGATGTAAGTATGCTATGGATCGCTATGGCAGTAGCTCGGCAAGTTTATTGGAAGGACTGGCGTGAAGATGAGATCAGAGTGATCAGGTAGTCAGTGATCGCTGTCAACCACATCAACCGTTGTGCATGTGCTCGAATTTGTCCTTAATATGACGCCAATCAGCGTGGGGGCACAATGTAGCCGTCATCCCCGGGCTGAAGGCGCGAACCAGTGTAACACTCCACTTCCTCGTCGCACTCAAGGGAAATGCCCCACTTGGGCTCGCACGGACCGCGCTCGGTCTCTTCGGGCAGCGCGATAACCCACTTGGGGTCCTTGTACTTTGGGTCCTTCCCAGCGTCTGACGGTATATCTCGCCCTTGAGTTTGCACTATATCATCAGTCACCAGCCCGAATATGAGTATCGCTCCATGGCGTGCTGACATACCCTTATTTTGCTCTCATCGCCAGTCTTGGGTACCCAGTAGAACTCGCCAGGCCCAGAACCGAATTGACCATCCTTGGCGATCTCAACTCGATCGCGATTGCCCGACCCAGATAAAGTGAACATCCCACGGCCATCGACCTTGAAATACAGGCCGGTCGGGTTGAAATCGACGGCTGCGACCTTGAAAAGCGACAAAGTCTCCGGGAAGTTCAGGTCTTGCACACTGACCATCACATTGTAGGCGGAGGCGGTCAAGATGGGGATCAGAGCGACATGGAGGGAAGAGGTAATGCGCATCTTGCTGCGATGGTTTCGAGCTCGATCTGAAGTCTCAGATCGCTTGCGATGATCTGGTAGATGACGAGGCCAAGCGATCATCATCATCTTATGGCGGCCACAGTTGCGACGTCTAGGCCCAGACCCACGGCCACGGGGCAGGGTGTCAGTCAACGGATGCCATCCTCCCCCTGGACCTCCCTTCAGGAGAGGGCCGCTCCTATCGCAAAGGAGGATGAGTACGGCGCAAACGCGCGTCAGGTGGACCAGGGGCTGGAACCATTGAGCAAGGCAATTGGTGAGAAAGGAATGCTTGACGAGGTAGCTATACTAGGACGAGCAAGACCCGAAAGACCCCGGTCAGTATAGATGAGGTAGTCAGACGTTGCTATCAGGTATACTGACTGCAATGTATCACGTGGCAAAGTTTTCGAACATGCCTGCAGGCGGCACATAGTCGTCATCCCACGGCTGAGGCTTCGAGCCCGTGTAACATTCCACCTTTTCGTCACACTCGATTGAGACGCCCCATTTGGCCTCGCATGGCCCACGAGCGGTCTCGCCGGGAAGCGCAATGATCCATTTCGGATCCTCGTACTCTGGGTCAAATTTGATATCAGCCGGCAGCTCGCCCTTCAGTCGGCACTGTCATAGTCAGCCTACTGCTAGTTCTCTATATACAGGAGTGGCGGTAGCGCTTACCTTGACCTTCCCCTCGTCTCCGGCATTGGGCATCCAGAAGAACTCGCCCGGCCCGGAACTGTACTTGGTGGGTGGGACTACGGTACGGTTCCGGCTGGCGGTCCCGAATAGCGTGAAGCGACCACCGCCGTCGACTTCGAACGTCAGAGCTGTCGGGCCGTAGTCGACCTCTGCGATCTTGAAGTGGGATGGATTCTCCAAGAGGTCCAAGTCCTGGACGCTGATCATCACCACGGAGGCGGAGGCGGTCATGATGGGAAACAGAGCGAGGAAGAGGGGAAGGGTAGAGCGCATCTTGCCGCAGGGATATTCTCGATCTGATTGCGGTACTCGGCGCTTTGAGTAACAGACAGGTGGTCACCGGTCAGTAAGCTTCACGCTGTGATAGGCCGCTGGATCCCTCTCAGCGCCAGGGAAGGGGCAGGAACGTCAAAGGACGAGGTTGGGTTCTAGGCGCTCCGGCCGCAAAGCATGTTGCAAGAGGTGCACAAGTGTGCTTGGCTGGAAGTGGCGTGCGCCTTGAGCGGTAAGTTATAGATGTATACGTCCTGATACCCACATAATGATCTGCGGGGCCCAGTGATTATGATACGTCAGTCCTGGCTGTCAGTAGTAAGTATCCGGGATGAGCGGTCGATCCAGCCTATTCCTACCATTTCTCCTACGCTCATGCTATCCGCGCCTCCACCTTAGCACGAGATGGAACACTCTCCATAGCCCCGGCCTTCTCGACGCACATCGCGCAAGCCTGGGATCTCAGCTCGGTCCATACACTCCCAACCGCATTGGCACCCCGCGCCCCTCGACGCAAACAAGGGGTGAACATACCGTCAGACAAGTCCTCAGTGTCGTTTCTAGATCCTCGTCCCTCATCAACCCCGCCGCAAAGTATCCCGCAAAACAGTCCCCAGCTCCTGTGGTATCCACTACCCCATTCACCACCGTCGCAGCTGGGAGGTACCCCACCGTCTGGGATCCAGCGGGGAGGTACAGGATCCCCCTTGCTCCGAGGGTACATATCAGCCCCAAGTCCGCGTTGGATCGGCGGAACAAGAGCATCTCGGCTCGTGCGGCGGATGCGATCGGCGCCTCGGGAGTTGTCGTCGGAGCTGACGCCGGCGCACTACCCGTTGTTGATGGCACAGCAAGACCGGTCTCCTTTAAAAGATCCGTCAACTCCCCTTCATTGACGATCAACCAGCTCAGACAGGCCCATGGGAACTGCCGCAGCTTTTCTCCGGAAAGCATAGGGGAGGGGTTGAAGATGGATGTCACGCCGCCGGAGTGGGCTGCGCGGAGGTAGGCGAGGGTAGAAGGGAGGGGGATCTCGTTTTGGAGGAGGAGGTGGGTGATGCCGGATAATGATGGGGACGTGTCACTTGGGGGTGTGTGATAATTGGCGCCTTTATGGAGTACTGTGATATCAGATCGTCTCTTGAGTTATAGATCGGAATGTAGACATTGGGACAGGCACGCACCGATACTGTTCTCGCCATCCTCGGCTAGCTGTATGATAGCTCTTCCCGTCATCTACTTCGTCAGCTCATCTGGCTACTATGTTATGTGATCTTCCACCCCTCGAGATGAGGTATGACTAGTTACTCACCTGCTCCTGTACCACCATGACCCGCCCGACATCCACCCCAGCGCGCTCCAGCCCATCCCGGACCCAAATCCCATCTTCCCCTATGCACCCATCCATAACTACATTCCCTCCCGCCCTGGCCACAGCATTCGCTTGATTCGCTCCCTTACCGCCCGCTCCCCGAGAGAGTTTGGACGAGGAGATGGTCTCTCCTGGTCGGACGATATGGGGGAGATGGAAGAATTCGTCGATATCTGAGACGCGCGATTAGCTTGCGGTATAGGCCAAAGATGTAACAGGCGGTAGTGGGGTGAGGAGGGAAGGAACTCACTGATAGACCCACGGACGAGACATTGTGGCGGAGTGGAGCTGGACATCTTGGAGGTGGTCAAGTACAATGCGAGGTGGGGCAGGGATGGGTGCAGAGGGTGAAGACGAGTGGTAATTTTATCTGAGGAATGAGGAGTTGCTGAGAGCGGATCAACTTTGATCCGATTTGGATGTCACGTGACCTTCTTGTCTCAACGAGCCCGGCCTGCGTCCAGGAGAATACTGACGAGTTCAACTAGATACATCCCCTCCTGGACTACAACAGCAAGATTCTCTATGATCACTGCTACGAACGCATGACAGGCTGTTCCTGGTATTGGGGCGGTAGATGGGGCGCCTGGCCCGCTGAGTAATCCGGTACCGGAGCTGACGCCTGTTCCGCCTCCGTTCTCGCCGCTGACTGATGTACTGCTGAGGCAGAGTAGATCGCTGCCGGTGGTTTTGGCATGGTATGACTCTCCTCTATAGGGTTTAGCGTCACCCTGCAGCCTTACCCCTCAGAGGCGACTCACGATATGTGGGCAATTCCCCATCCCTTGTCTCTACCCTAGTCACCGCCATCTCGGTCGATACCCATCCCCTCCTCGCCAGCTCGACCGAGCTTCGCCTATGTGCAGGCACGTGTGGACTCTGCTGTCTTGGCGGGAACATCGTATGCGTCACTTCCCGCGCCACAGCTCTCAGCGAAGGGCGCTTCACCGGCCCATCGTCCGCTGACTCTGGATCGCGTTTAGCGGCTCGGTGGGCTTTGATAGCTGTTACAAAGGATGCGAAGATTCGGACGACGTATATGATGATGATGGCGAAGAGGAGGACAATGAGGCCGACGATACTGAGAACGTCAGAGAATTTCGGGGACGACAGAGAAGAGAGGGCTCACTAAAGCATAGTGGGCGGTGTCTGCGCTGCAGCTGCTTCTCCTCAGTCGGTGGATACAGTGGGTCAGACCTGCTGCCTAGGTGTGATGTCCGATGTGATGGCTTTATAGAGATACAAGTAGAAGCCAAGACTCACCAAGACCTCACCGCTTATTCTCTGAAATCGAGAGCGAGATCTCGAGATCGGGAGCAAATGCGGGGCCCAGTCCGGGGCGTCTAGGTTCTCGCCACCCGAGCTTGAGCGGCGATCCCCGATTAGATAGCGAGACCTGTTGGCCATTGAACGTTGAACGACCGCTCACCCTGCTATATCTAGACGTTCTTCCCCTATACATCACCTCGGTATCGGACACTCCGCCTCTCACTTATCGGCATCATGACAGGCGAGGCTTTGGAGTCCACCATGTTGCCGGGAAGGTGTGCCATGCGGGGGAATTGCGGAAGAACGAGCATGTTCGGCGCGGACCTCCCTTGTCCGGATGATGGTCCAGCCAACAAGGTGAGCGATCGGCCGTGATGTCTGATCAGCAGAGCTGATCCAGTCAGACCACAGATGAAGTCAGAGATCTTCTAGCCACGGTCTGCGGCCCCGCCTACACCATCCCCGACAGCGTCTGCTGCACGGCCGAGCAGATCCGGACCCTCGGCGAGAAGGCTCAGCAAGCTGCCCCGCTTATCGCTTCTTGTCCCGCGTGCATCAACAATTTCCGCCTCTTCTACTGCGACTTTACCTGCTCCCCCGACCAATCGCAATTCCTCACTGTCTCTTCCACCCTGAAGACTACATCGGGCAAGCAGGCGGTCAAGGAGGTCAATTATGGCGTCAGCGATAAATTCAGGGAAGGGTTCTACGACTCGTGCAAGAGCGTGCAGTTTGGAGCGACGAACGGGTTCGCGATGGATCTGATAGGTGGAGGGGCGAAGAACTCGTCGGCGTTCTTGGCGTATATGGGAGATATGCGGCCAGGTCTGGGAAGTCCATTCCAGATCTCATTCCCAGAGGGCGGGGAGGGGTATACCCGGAAACCGCTCAAATGCTCGGATGGCGACCTCAACTCTCGGTGCGCCTGCGTCGACTGCCCTACTATCTGTCCTACCCTACCCTACGTCGCGCCTCCCTCTAGCGACCAATGCCGCGTTGGCGCGGTATCTTGCCTCACCTTCTCCCTTCTTATCGTCTACTCGGTCGCCATCCTCTTCAGCCTCGTCTATTTTTCGTACAAGCAGGCTATACGGCATCGGCAACGGCGGTACGAACGGCTCGCACTAGTCGATCCGCCCATGTCTCCCGGTGCGGACGGTGGGGTCAATGGCCTGGACGGCCTGATCGGACGGGGAGAGGCGGATGCGGAATCGGGACCGAGCGGGTCAATACACTTCCGTCTGGGTCGGGGGGCTACTCTCCTCGACCCGATGGATCATATGCAGCCCAAGCAGAACAAGATCAACGCTGCTCTGCGGCGCTTCTTTTACCGCCTCGGACTCTTCTGCGCGACGCATCCCCTCGAAACATTCGGGATCGCCGCCATGATCGTCGCGGTGCTCAACCTTGGCTGGCGGTACTTTGAAATCGAGACGGAACCGGTCCGGCTATGGGTCGCGCCCAATAGCGAAGCGGCGCTCGAGAAGCACTTCTTTGACGAACACTTTGGGCCATTCTACCGCGCCGAGCAGGTGTTCGTGACCGTTCCGGACGGGACACCGGTCACATATGACATCCTCGACTGGTGGCTGGGCGTCGAGAGCGACATCGCGGCGCTCAAGTCGGACGGGGAGGGATATACGCTGGATGACGTCTGCTTCAAGCCGAGCGGGCCGGATACGGCGTGTGTAATCCAGTCCGTCTCGGCGTGGCTGGGCGAGGAGATGGAGGAATGGGGAGATGATTGGCGGAAGAGGATCTCGGACTGTGCGGGCAGGCCAGGAGAATGCCTGCCGCCATTCGGCCAGCCACTCGACCCTAAGCTAATCCTCGGCGGGGCGAATGGGGATTGGCTCCATGCCAAGGCGCTGGTCATCACATACGTCGTCAACAACTTCAACGATGACCGCGTCCGCCCTGCTGAGCAATGGGAGCGGAAGCTCGAGGCGTACCTCGGTGCTCTGCACAAGGACGGTGTCAACATCTCGTACTCGACAGGAGTCAGTCTCGAAGAGGAGCTCAACAAGAGCACCAATACGGACGTTAAGATCGTCGTGCTTTCCTACCTTGTCATGTTCCTCTACATCTCCCTTACCCTCGGCGGCGGTCTCCCTCCTTCCGTCATCTCCGGCACTCTCGCCTATCTCTGGTACCTGACCAAGCGGGTCGGCGTCCTCCTCCACGTCGCATCACCCGACTCTATCGCTCATCCTCCCTCATCACCCCTGGCGGCCATCCCCACCCTCCTCTCTGTCAACTCCAAATTCTCCCTCGGCCTCTTCGGGATCGTCATCGTCCTCATCGCCGTAGCGTCTTCTGTCGGTCTCTTCTCCTTCCTCGGTATCCGCGTCACCCTTATCATCGCCGAAGTCATCCCCTTCCTCGTCCTCGCCGTGGGCGTCGACAACGTCTTTATCCTGGTACACGAGCTCGACCGCCAGAACAGCTTACACGCACAGGATGCGCCGCTGCCCGTCCAAGGTGTAGACGAGGATGACGAGGAGGAACCGTCTTCGCCGAATCTGCCACCAGAGGAGCGGGTAGCGCGGGCTTTGGCGAGGATGGGACCGAGTATCATGCTCAGTTCGGTCACGGAGACGGTGGCGTTCGCGCTGGGCGCACTGGTGCCCATGCCGGCGGTACGGAACTTTGCTATCTACGCGGCGGGGAGTGTGTTCCTTGGAGCGGTCATGCAGGTCACGATCTTTGTGTCTGCTATGGCTTTGGATCTGAAGCGTGCAGAGGTGAGCTAGAGCTCTGCGATTGAAGGGGTCACCAACTGACATTCAGTCTATGAGGATCGACTGCTTCCCCTGCGTCCGCCTTCGTCCACCTGTCGGGCTATACGAGCGGTCCGCTGCTCCCAGCGAGAGCATCGTCGCCAAGTTTATGCGTCGAGTGTATGCGCCAATACTGCTGCACCACGAGGTGAAGCGTTTGGTGCTGGCGATCTTTGGCGGGATCTTCATGGTGGCTATCATCGGGATACAGCATATCAATCTCGGTCTCGGTAAGTCCCCTTCTCACCGCGTTTGACCGGTACTGACCCTCAGATCAACGTCTCGCTCTACCCGCCGAATCCTACCTCGTCAACTACTTCAACGATCTCGACGCTTACCTGGACGTCGGTCCACCCGTCTACTTTGTCGTCACCAACGAGCCCACATCCCGGATCGGCCAGCAAGAGCTCTGTGGCCGCTTCACCACCTGCCAAGAGCTCTCGGTCGCCAACTCGCTGGAAGCCGAACGGAAACGCCCAGAATCATCCTTCCTCGCCAGTCCGCCCGCCTCATGGGTGGATGACTTCCTGCAATGGACCAACCCCACCTTTGAGAGCTGCTGTCGCGTCCGGCGAGCCAACCCGGAGATCTTCTGTACCGCGCGGGATAGCGATCGGGCCTGCCGACCCTGCTTCGAGGGGCAGGACTGGAGTATCACGATGGACGGTCTACCCACCGACGACAATTTTATGCGGTACCTCACCCAGTGGCTCAAATCGCCCTCGGACGAGAACTGTCCCTTGGGCGGAATGGCCCCTTACTCCAACGCCATCAGCATCGCTCCCGACAACCGGACCCTCTCCGCCACACATTTCCGGACGTACCATACCCCCCTTAAATCCCAATCTGACTTTATCGACGCCCTCACCGCCGCTCAGCGAATCAGCAAGGATATCTCTCGACGCACCGGGACAAAGGTCTTCCCCTACTCGCTCTTCTACGTCTTTTTCGACCAGTACGAGCATATTGTCACGATCGCCATCCAGGTGGTCTCGCTGGCGCTGCTCGCGATCCTCGTGATTACGAGTCTGCTGCTGGGGTCATGGCGAACCGGTGGAGTCGTGACGTTCACGTGTGCGCTGGCGGTGACGAGCGTGACGGGAGTGATGGGGTTCTGGGGGATCAGCCTGAATGCTATCTCCTTGGTCAACCTCGTCATCTCCTTGGGTATAGCTGTGGAGTTCTGCAGTCATATAGCGAGGGCATTTATGGGTGCGGGTAGCGGGGTGGCGTATGAGAAGGAGGGCAAGCGGGAGAAGGACGATAGGGCTTTCGCGGCGCTGGTGGATGTCGGACCTTCGGTATGCTATGTTCCTCCTCTTGTTTGGGTATTACCAGCTGACGTGCCAGGTCTTCTCAGGAATCACAATGACCAAGCTCATCGGAATTTCTGTCCTCGCTCTCACCCGCTCGAAACTGCTCGAGATCTACTATTTCCGGATGTGGCTCAGTCTGATCCTATCGGGGGCACTACATGGGCTGGTGTTCCTCCCTGTGGCGCTGAGTTATCTGGGCGGACCGGGGTATGCGCTGGAGGATACGGATGAGGAGTGGGTGACGAGTCAGATGAGGAGACCGTGAGTTATACCATCGCCTCGGTAGAGCTTTAGGAAGATGAAGGGCGAAGGACTCAGGTTGTGACCAGAGGAGAAGGTCTCGAGCTGACTCGGGTAGAATGGACTATGAGTATGCGCCGTTTGCGGATACGGACTCGATGATGTCGGATCGCTAGGTTGTGCATGTACGATGGGTTACGCCACATAGATCACAGTCCGGGGCGTCCGCCACACCGGAACTGGAGCTGACACCGCTGATGCAGCACTAACAAGCTCGTTCCACGCTGCATGCAGCATGCTGCTGGCTGCTAGTGACACGCATCTAGACCCGCTCTCAACACGGACCGGTCGCCCAGATCTCCCTTCCTCGCCAATCTGACTCGGCTTGCATCGACTTAGCGCCGGTATTTCCGTTACTGAACCCACATGTCAGTCAGACGATGCCGACTACAACTCGTTAACAGCAGAGGCCGCTATCAAATCCAATAGCATTCATAGGCATAAGCTGTCTGACTTCTATCCTTTGTGGCTAAACGTTCAACAAGATTACCGAGCCGGTCTGTCTTGCACAAGTGCACAGCTAGTAGCATCAGCATTGAGCTTGCGCAGAGCAGGGGAGATGCGAGAATACTGACTTTACGACCCGGGTTGGATGATCACATTCACCGCGCCGCCCGGCCTGTCACCGACGAAGTCCATAGCTTCGTTGACCTGGTCAAGCGAGAAGGACTTATGCTCCATGTATGACAGGTCGATGACGCCCGCCGAGATGAGCGCTATCATCTCGTCTACCTCGGCGCTGGTAAACCACATCGTACCGAGGATGGCACAGCTGTGGCTCATCGCCTCGGTGTAAGTCTGGTTGAGACTGCCCTCCGCCCCGCCCGCTGCCAAGATGGCCTTTCCCCCGACCTTGACGAGCTTGATCAACTCCATAGTCATGTTCCCATCCCCGCCATTCCCCAGACAGTCGTACATGGCATCCACGCCCAGTCCGTCCGTGTGTGACTTGACCCAGCCGGCAATATCCTTCTCCTCCTCTGACGATACCACCTTCACCCTGCCGTTCCCAAACTCGCTGAGCTGCTTGAGCTTGTCCGGGTTCCGACCGATACCGAGGATCCGAGTACAGCCGAGCCCAATGGCAATAGAGACCGCCGCGTAGCCGAGCGTGCCAGTGACGCCATTGACGAGAAGGGTCTTGCCGGGGCCCATGCCGCCCTTCTTGAGACCGGCGAACGAGGTACCGAGGTATCCGAAACGTGCCGCGAGGCGGAGGTCAATGTTGTCGGGGATGAGGGCGATATTGGTGTCGGGGAAAGGAGGTATTCCGACAGACCGCCGATCGGGTACCGCTTGAGCGTAGGCTTGCCCTCGGGGAGGAGCGCGAAATAACCACGCAGAGCACCGGCCGGGCAGTAGCCTTGGGTGGACGGGCCTGGATGTCAGCCACACGTGGAGTGCTCGAAATCAGCGTGAGCGCGACTCACCTTGCCGACATGCCTGGCAGGTCCCGCAGGTCAGGAAAGGGTCCACATAGACCCTGTCCCCAGGCTTGATGCCCAGCACATGCTCTCCTACAGCCTCCACCGTGCCCGACACGTCCAGGCCAAAGATACAGGGGAACTCGGGAAGAGACATCCCCTCCAGCGGATTGGGGTTGGAAACGAGGTTCTTGGTGTTTGGGACAATGGAGCAGGCGGTGACCTTGACGAGCACATCATTGACTCCAGGTGCGGGCTTGGTGATCTTGTCGGTATAGAAGGGTTTGCCAACGGCGGGGAGGCGTGCAACACGGATGTCGGACATGTTGATCAGCGGACGAGGAGGGGGAATCCTGATGCAGTGGAGCCAGCTTGCAAGGGGGGGGGGAAGGCAGTAACTACTACATGATATATGAAAATCGCGACCTTCGATGTAGCGGGTTAAGGCGGCGGCGTCGCCCTTGTCGTTTGGGTGAGTCACTTCGAGTCACGTCAGGTAGCTTGTGCTCTTGCCCGCGTACTACCGCGAGGATGTCCCATAAGATCTTATTAGTGTCTGAGGATCGGTGAGAGCTATGACGTCAGACGTCCGCGGCGCCACTCCGCGGCGCGGATGACCGATGCCCGGATGATCTGCCTCCACTTGATGTCAAACTTACTCGTAATTTAGGACGAGAAAGAAAAGCTTAAGGAGGGGGGACCCAGCTGTCATATATCGCGCATAACACTGTACGGCAATAATGCGTCGAGTCACCCAAACCGCCAAAGCAAGTGCTCGAGCCGCCTCGTCGTCTCCACCTCTGCGGAAGCGGGTCAAGCGGGAGGGTCGGCCCGGGTCACCGGACCAACCTGCCGCCTCAAAGGTCAACCAAACCCAAGCCACCCCGGCCGGATCACCACCACCTCCCCACAAGCACGACGCCGCCCTCGCAGACAAGAAATACTCGGCCTACTCCCCCTACACCAACCAATCCCCCTTTCCTGACTTCGGTCATCCCACCCCAAAACAATGCGCCGACGCCCACACCGTCCTCTCCAAACTCCACTCGGCGGACGTTGCCAAGGAATTTGAGGACGAGTTCACTCCGGAGTCCATCCCTCATGTGCTCGACTCCATCATAGTCGCAATCCTCAGCCAGGCCACCGGGTGGAGCAACGCCAAGCGAGCCATGGCTAGCATGGTATCTGCCTATGGCTCGGTATTCGCGTATGACGCTATCGTAGGAGGCGGGCGGGAGAAGCTGGAGGGAGTTTTAAGATGCGGTGGCATGCAGGTGCGGAAGTCCATGATGATCATGACGATCCTGGACCAAGTCAATGAGCGGTATGGAGGGTGGGACATGGACAGCATGTTCAAGATGAGCGATGAGGAGGCGATGAAGGAGCTGCTCAGCTTCAAGTACGTCGGTACGAAATCAGCATCGGTGGTCCTCGGCTGGTGCCTGAAGCGGAAGCCATTCACGGTCGACACACACGTTTATCGGATCACGGGACTTTGGGGATGGCGGCCGGCGACCGCCACTCGCGAGAAGACACAGAGTCACCTTGAGATCATGATTCCTTCTGACCTCAAGTTCGACTTACACTTCCTCTTTATCGCGCACGGTAGAACCTGTCCGGCCTGCCGGGGTGGTAGCAAGAGCTTCAAGGGGTGTACAGCGGTGGCGGCAGGATTAGAGATCGATCGCTGAGTGCTTGTCTTTGGGTCAAGCTCGAGGTGAGCATTTCGCCGTTGATGTGAACCCGCATCAGTAGTGCTGATGACTCTCAGCTCTGGCTCTAAGCCCCTCGGAAGTAGTGTTGGGGATGGGATCGGCAGATTCGGGCGAGGCAGTAGTACTGGGAGCTTTAAGTGACGACTCGGCGCGGGGATACCCGGACAGAGGAATGAGGAGTTCGAGTGACCGGTGCCGGTGAGGTCTGGGTGAGGTCAATGCATGTACTAGCGGAAGGGACTGCAGTCGACCGTATGGTCATATTCCCGTAGTGTCAGCAGGAATGATGGGCGGGTCGGTCAGTATTTTGATCATTTCTGAGATGTCAGCCATCGCAGCTGTACCAGACCAGCTTTTCAGCAAGGTGGTATTGCTGCGATATGGTGATGACAGCTCAGGTCTGATCGAGCTAGCGTGCCGTACTCTAATGCATGAGGGTGTGGGAACGAGTAACGCCGATTAAGCCTCGTAGATCCACTTTTGGTTGTCGGCCTTGTACTCGGCAATGCCGTTGCTGGGGATCAGCTATTATCCCAGACGACGAGTCCGTGTCTCGGACAGCTGAGCAGGACCTACGGGAACCAGAGGGCAATCTCCTTCTTGGCGGACTCAACACCGTCGGAACCGTGGCAAACGTTCTGGTACAGTCAGCTCATGCCTGTGTACGCGCCAGCAAAATATAAACTGACCATTCCGACCTGGAGAGCGTAGTCACCACGGATGGTACCTGAACGTCAGCTTGACCCTGTCATCCTTCTGAAAAGCAAAGCTTACCCGGAGCGGACGACAAGGGGTTGGTGGCACCGAGCATGGTCCGGCCGGTCAAGCAGGCGTCAAGACCCTCCCAGACCATACCGACGACGGGGCCGGAAAGCACTGCCTGAGTCAGCTACACAGTTCACAACGGGGGTGGTGTACGGAGCTAGCATTGGACGCACTGTACTTGATGAGACCGGGGAAGAACTTCTTCTCCTTGAGGTCCTCGTAGTGCTTCTCGAGGTGCTCCTGGTCAAGTCAGCTGCCGAAACGACTGCTGACCAGCAAGCGTCTTCAAGCTGACCTTGGAAGGAGTCATCATCTGGAGAGCGACGAGCTAAACCTTATGAGCTTGGGCACCTAACGTTCCTGGCAGTCGTGGCAGCTTACCTTGTAGCCACGCTTCTCGAAACGGGCAATGATCTCGCCGACGAGTCTACCTACTGTCAGATGCTGGCTCGGACATAGTCAAGGCGCCGGTCAGCTCACCCTCGCTGGACACCGTCCGGCCTGTCTGATCAGCTTGGACCCTTCGCACACCCTCTCTTCGCCCAAAGAGCTCCGAGCGGGACCGCATCCCGGCATGTGGTAGCTCACTTGATCATGATGTAGGTCTGCTCAGTGGTGGACATTTTGACTGGTCTGTTTCTGCTTGAGAGAGGTTGGAAAGAGAGAGAGGTATGAATCGAGGAATGAGGAACGTTGGCTGGCAAGGTCAGAAAAGTCAAAGCCACGCACCAGATCTCTAGCGATATCGCCGAATGTGGCACTTCTGACACAGCAGATCCGTGCGTCGTGTTTCAGATTGAAGAAGATCGGATGACGATGACGCAATGAGAGAAGCGCCCAGCCAAAGCAAAGTCTGCGGAGTCCATTCACCTTATCATACATACCGTACCGCCCATCTAATCTTACACCTTTTGACCAACTATATATCACCCCGTCCTTCACTTCCTGCAATCCAAGTAGCAGCCTCAAAGATGTCATCCATCCGCTTCGACCCGCAAACGAACCCCTCCGCCGCCCAGCCTTCTTCACCGAATGGGCCCACCCGATCCCCCAGTTCTCGGCGGTTCGGGTCACCTAGCGAGGCGGAGTCTCAGCCTCTCCTCCGGTCCGAGCAAGCGGAGGGGGAGAGGGAGGGGCAAGGCGAAGGAGGAGGGGTAGTGAGGCCGATCGTGGTGATTGCGGGCCTGATCGTCGTAGGGGCGATGATAGCGGGGGGGTGGATTTTGAGTCGGGGAGAGGGAGGGGCTAGGTGGCCTGGTGGGCCGCACTAGGTCCTCCCAGAAGTCAGGGGGAGCGGGGCTGGGGATGGGTAGGAGGAGGAGGAAGCTGGGGAGGGGACGACACGGATGATTACAACACGACATACACTTCCATACTACCACGACACAACGATACCACCATGCCAATCAATCACGAACACGGAGATAAAGCCTTTCCTCTCGCGCTGTATCATAGTCACTAGACCCCTTCCACAATTCTACTCCCCGTCCCCCTAAACCCCGAATGATCACGTTACATGTGAGTACGACAGTATTTACAGCTACAACGACACCCCAAACTCACCCCGCAGCTCTCAACCACCCCTCATAGAACCCCGCCCTTCTCTCTTCCTCTTCCATCCCCCCTCCCCTCCCCTCCCCGACCCCCACCCCACCACCCGCCCCTTCCGCCTGCATAGCAGTCATCACCCCGCCTCCACTCCCACCACCCAACAACCGCTCCACCTCCTCCCCCGCCGCTAATCGGCTCAGACGCATATACAACCCCAAATCCTTCTCATCCATCATCTCCACTGCGTGACTGGCCGGATCGGACGGATAATGGATATACCACTCGTATTCTCCCATCCTCTGCTCCTCTACTTCACCGCCAGGAGCGTACAGCGACTCGACCAGCGTCTCTAAGGGATGGGACGGGTGAGGTGGGGGAGGGGGAGAGGCGGCATCGGGGTCCTCGTCGTCGTATGCCGGTGTGTCGGAGGACGGGAGGGCGGACTTGCGTGCCCATCGCCGGGCGGAGCGGCGGACGGAGGGCGAGGAGGATGGACCAGAGAGGGACGACTGGGACTGGGAGAGCGGATCGGTTATTCGGGATTCGAACGGAGAGGCGAAGGCTTCGGGTTTGGGCTTGGCGTGGAATCGCGTTGTAGAGTTCATTGTACTATACCATTAGCCCATTTTCTTCCCTTCTAGACTTTTGCATTCTGGTTTGGCTTTAGTTGAGATGTGATACTTACAAGGCATACAACCGCTGGAATTGCGACAAGATATGAGGTTTGTAATATTCCTTGTAAACGCTGTGGAGCGGCGCCAGCTCATCTACCGTCCGCTCGTTGAGGTTCCGCGGGTCAAACCATTGGCGATAGTGCGGTCGGGGCGGGGCGGTCGACATGGACATAGGAGACGACAGTTCCACACCGAGAAAGAGGTTGATGGCTGCTTGTTTGTCGGCGTCGAGCATGCTGTTGTTGTAGAAACGGCGGATATTTTCTGGACGGGTCAGCTGAGCAGCCTCTAGATGGGCGAGACCTAGCCTACCCAGGAGATCTCGCGAGTGTGAGGACCACTGAGCGGCCTTTACGCGCCGATAGGTATCAACCCTGTTGACGAGGGCACTTCCGGTATACTGCCAAGCGAGCGCTAATGTGTCAGCTCGATGTATGTGGTAGCGTTATGCGTAGCTTACTATCTCCGTGGTCATGATACATCTACAAGTCAGCTATCATCATCACCGGTCGGGGGGCTAGCAGCTCACCTCGGTCAATACATCCACCGCATCACAGCTAAAAGGCAAATAAGGCGATCCCAGCAGTCCCAGCGCATAAAGCTGGTGTCCGAAGGCTCGTTTCGCAATCGCGAATTGGGCAGCGTTCGTCCGGTCCAGACAGTCGACGCAATTGGTTCGGAGGATACCGTGCTGGAGGAGTGGCTCGGTCCGGCGTGATCCTAAGCTACGGGAGTCAGCTCTTGGTATGCCTCTATCAAACGCTAGGGCAATCCCCTGCTGTCGAGAAGAGATCGACTCACGACGTATCGAGCCGGGCGGGACCGCCGTGAAAGAATCCCGTGGCTTGGAGGGACTCTTCACAAATATCTTCCAGGACACCCATGACGTCTTGATGACCACTAGTTCATCAGCATCATTATCTCCTCTCACCTTCCCTTCGCTCTCGTCTCCTTTTGGAGTTGTTAACCCACCTCTTGGCAGCCTGAGCCATATCCCACGCGATATACCGCATCTCCTTCCCCCTCGGCAAAAACTGATTCAGATACTCGACGCACTGCCCGTACTCGGCCAGAAGCTTGCTTTCTCGGGGTACCGACTCGCGCGACTTGATGAGGTTCAAGATGAAGATGGGGGCACCGTATCGTTGGAGGAGGTCGTTGAAGTGGAGAGCGGCAGGGGAGTAGAAGGGGTCTTTGACGGTGACTACGGTATCAGCTGCTAGCTCTTGTTCAGAAGCGAAGACGACCAAAGGAGCTCACTTTCGATAGGAGGCCGAGGGGTAACGCTATTGGACTCTTGCATCCACTTGACCGGGATACTTCCTCGGTATTGTACGAAGGAAGTGTATGCGCCGTATCCTGTGTCTGCCCCAGCGTAGAGGAAGGACTGCTGATTCCGCTGACCGAAAGGCGTAGCGAGTGGTTCCGAGACGCTTAGAGATCAGCTTGTCTCTGCGCATATGGGAGCAGTCAGCTGAGACCTACATCTGCTCCGTCTCCACTTCGTTTGCTACGTGTCCCTGTATGGTCAGTTCTCCACGACGTGTCCAGACGCCTTAGCTCACGCTCTCATTAGCTCCTCTCGTCAAGAACCGAGCGCCCGCGAAATGCCTCGACCGCCTCGCAATCAGGGTGAGGTATACCGTCCGCGTAAAGACATTAATTTCTGCCTTATCAGCTTACTCACGTGCTCAGACAGGCTCACACAACTGCGACAGCTGACTCACTGGCTTGATCCACAAACCCATGTATCAAAGGCAATACCCACCGGCTCCTCCCCTCCGGAACGTCCAGCTCGAACGCGGGGGCCAGGAGATGATAGTTCCACATGAAGCGGGTATTCCACTGACGCGCAGAGGGAGCGACGGTGAGATTTGTCTGGAGGGAGTTTGTAATATCGTAGGAGTAGCTAGCGAGTCAGCTTCTGCGGGGTCGCCGACTCAGGCCAGACCGAGAGACAAAGCGTACGACATGTAGAAGTTCTTGCTGAGATCTACTTGGGAGAAGGAATTGACCATCCTGAGGAGTCAGCTTCGCGAGCAATCGTCGTGGTGGGAGCTGGATGTACTTGGTCTCCAAGCTGGTACGCTCTGCTTTGTTGCCGATGGTAATGAGCTGTACTAGTCAGCTTCGACCTTGGATTGGAGTCCATCATAGCCAGCTCACGGTCGTCTCATCGCAGTGATATACTGTCCAGTCAGCTGACGGACCGTCGACATTCATACGGCTCACTATAGTGTCCCCCGAGCAGCCCGACGACAGATCGCTTAGTCACCAAGATCAAATACCACCCCGCTGTGAATTTCACAAATCCCACAATCCCACTACCTCGTCAGCCCGACCACTCTACCATCCTGAGCCTTCCCCTCGATGCGGACTTACTGGAACTCCAACACCTTCTCCAGTCCCCCCTGGCTCTTATTCCCATCCTGCACCATCCTCAACAGCAGGTCCAGCTGGGCATCATCATACGCCGTCGCATCTTCCGTCACGCCCAGCGTTGTAGGATCTGTCCGGTCGATCTTGAGGACGCGATGTGAGGATGCGGCGGAAGCTACGACGTAGAAGCGCCTGAGGAATCAGCTGAGCGCGGAATGGGCAAGAACGGAGGGACAAGGGGTCCAAGCGGCAAGCTTAACAACAGGGAAAGCGCATACGTCTTCGTCTCGAAGAGGGTGAACTTGGAGAGCGAGTTGAGGCCGCTTGGGCCGTCCTCTTCGCCGTCCATCCTGAGGTCTTCGCGATGCTTCTTAGGCTATGGAGAGGCAAGAGATACCACCATTATTGCGCCCATACCCACCTGTGAGGGTGTCAACACACACGGACCTCGCTTAAACGCGCCAATTCTTATCTTTCCCTCGGCAAGGTCCGAGACCAATGTGATTACAAGGAACGCCGCTTTGCCCGATCGGGCAATTTGTATTAGGAATCCTTACCGTGCCGCATGCTATCTATTAGGTCCGCAAATCCGCAAATCCCCTCATCTTCCTTTCTCTCGCCCAGTTGTGCAGATGGGCAGGTACAAGTCAACCCAGTCTTGCACATAGCCGCCTCCATCTCAACTCCACGCGCGATGGTCAAGTCGAACCAGCCGCTGCAGATCCGGCTGACCGAGCCGGTCGTCTTCCTCCGCGGCCCCTCTACCGGTCTCGACTTCCGCGGTCGCCCCATCGGAATCGACACGGATGCGCCTCCGGCAATGCTGCGGGGTCTCTTGACGCTCCGACTGACAAAGGGGACGAGGATACGGAGTATCGCCGTCAAGCTTGAAGGTGTGAGCCGGACGGAATGGCCAGAAGGTATGTCTTGCGCGATAAGAGCTAGCTAGAGCACCGAAGCTGACTAGACAGGGATTGGACCCCGCCGACTGGACACTTTTGAAGAACACACCATCATCTCCGACTCGACGTCCTTCTTTGACGCCCGACGGAGGGGTTCGCGGTCCCGAGATCGCTCGACCCGGCGCGCAGCGTCCGTCGGACCCGGAGCGTATATCGCGCAGTCGGAACAATCCTCGGACGACGCGGATCACGATCATGAGGAAGTCCCAGGGGATGGAGGGGAGGACTGGACGGCCATCCGGTCGCCGAGAGGAAGGGAGCGGGAACGGGGCGTTATACCTCGTTCGGCGAGCGCGATGCCGGGGATGTTGGCGGGTATGGGAAGCTGGGATGGGAGTCAGAGTGGAGAGTCAAGGCGGCCGAGCTTTGATGGAGGTCCAGGATCAGGCTCGAGGGGGAGGAGTGGGGCGCTAGAGCCAGGCGGGCTGGATGGTGTGCGGGGCTCAGACCGGAGGGGGCCCAGTCCGGCTTACACCCCTCGTGCACAGAGTCCGGCAGGCCGCGCTCCGTCCTCGCTCCGCTTGAACGATACCGCTCGACCATCACGGGAGACCGTTCTGAGCCCCATCCAGTCTGCCGCCCCATCTCGCGCTCCGTCCGACCGAGACAACAGCGCCGAAGCGATTCATCGTCGGCCGTCTGGGAGCGGATCGATACATATGGCTTCGGAAGAGGTGGCGGAGGCTACCGAGCCAGAGTCTGAAGAAGCAGACGCGGAGCTTGAGATGGAATCGCCAGGAGTCATGGATGAGAACGGGGACGAGTCGGAGGCGGAACCGCAAGGAAGGAGACCTACCGACATTGACGAAGACCACCACCACGCCATCCGGTCTATCCTCTCTGCGGGCCCATCGGGGGGCAGGCGCCAGAGCTCAGGCGGAGAAGTCCGCTTTGCCCCTCCGACGCGGGCGACGGCGATAGAGGGCGAGGAGGATATTCCCGAGGGACACGAAGGAGAGACAGAGGCGGAAAGCGCGGCACGACGACAAGAGTACCATCATGCCCATTCGGCCATATCCGCCATATCGGCCGTGTCTACCGCTCACAACTCGCCAGCTCCGTCCAGGCCTGGATCGGTCTACGCTGCGTCCCGTCCAGGATCGGTTCGGCCGCGCGCATCCACAGATACCTTGCAAGGTAGCGGTTCCGACCATGCCGCCTCGGCCCCAACCCTAGCGGTGGCTCCTGCTTCGGAAGCAGCGACTACCGCTCAGCTGTCACCGCAGTACGGCCTGGGGGATACCGGGCCTTCCGCGTCTGCGGCATCATCGCGTCCTCCGAGTCTTTTCGCTCCAGACTCTCGCCGCCCTTCTCGGCCAGGAAGCATGCACCTCAGCGCCGCATCGTCCAGTACTTCTCTACAGGAAGTCCGACAAGGCCGGAAGAATCGGCTCGGGAGCCCTTCGACTATCGTGGTCAATACGGACCCGAACGACCCTACCGCCGGGGCAGCGCCCGAGCTGCCCACTTCCCCTTTGGCGCAGGGATCGACGTCCGCTTCTCGCCCGCCTTCCATCAACAATATCGCTGGCGCTAGCGGAGGACCGTACGGTCGTCCTTCACTTCCAACCTCGTCATCCTCCTCCACTTCCGGTCCTCGGGCAGAAAGCAGCGGTCCGAACGGTATCGACGGAGGGAGGAAAGGTCGGTTCTCCCTCGCCGCGACACTCCGCGGACTGAGCCAGGACGTCAAGGACCGGGTCCGCCAGTCTTCCAAGTCCCGAACAAGACAATCATCTACCGGGCCGGCATCCTCCTCCACTCGCGCGCGGAACGGAAGTACGACCGACATCCCCGTTCCTCCTCTGCCTGCAGGACACAGACCCTCGCTCGGTGCTCGGGAGAGGGACGAGTCGACCTCGCGTTCTCGCTCGACACACCGCCAGACATCCTCTTCCTCCTTCTTCCACCCGGATGCGGGGCCCGTACCCTCCTCTGAACCGTCTATGCGGAGCGCGATCCGCCGTGGTTCTGGCTCATTCACGCGCGATCCGGACTTTGTGCCGCCCGGAGGATCGAGGGGGGCTGCGCGGATCAATACGAGCAGGGAGAGGAGTGGGAGTCGGATGCGGACGGAAAGTCCCGCTCCGGGGCCGGGGCAGGCGATGGATAGGCGGACGAGCGTGATGGCCGACGAGAGAAGAGGGGGGAGGAGTGAGAGTCGGGGACGAGGGAGGAATAAGGGGATGAAGGTGTTGACGGATGCATTGGGGCTGGGGGATGGGCGAGTGGATGTGGAGGAGGAAGGGGAGGATCAGCATAATTGGAGAGAGTTCAGGAAGGGTGTGTTATGCCTATCTTCCTTGCCGCCTTGTGGGGGTAAAGTAAGGGGAGGAAGCTGATCGACAGGGACATACAACTACCCCATCTCATTCCCTATCCCCGTCTCGACGCCGCCTACCGTCCACGCCGAATTCGGCTCGGTGACGTACCGCCTGAAAGCGACAGTCGTACGCGTCGGCGCGCTTACACCGAATCTGACGGAAGAGGTCGAGGTGTGCTTTATTGCCACGCCGCAAGAGGATGACCTGGAGGAGACGGAGAACGTCATTGTGGAGAGGCAGTGGGAGGAGCAGATGAGGTGTGTTTAGTCACAGTTAAAGCCGAGCAGCGTCGAGGAACTGGGGGACTTGGCTGATCCAGCAGATATCAGATTGCGCTTAGTGGAAAGGCGTTCCCTATTGGCGGTATCATGTGAGTTGGCATGGTCCGCACAGATGCAAATCGGTCCTCAGCTGACGATACCAGCCCCGTCAGCCTGCGCATCATGCCATTGATGAAGTGCAAGATCCACCGCCTGACCTGCGTTTTGGAAGGTCAGTTCGCCCTTCCGGATTGTCGTCTGAATGGCACGAGCTGACCCCGTCCAGAAAAGACCGACTACTTTGCCCAAAACCGTAAAGTGATCCGACACGAAACCCCCCGCCGCTTCTCCCTCCTCTTCATCAAACAACTCGACACGCGCCCCTCTGAGCCTTTGTTACCCATCATCTCCGAGACCTCTGACGCGGCACGTACATCCCCACTCGCGCCCCTCGCCCGCGCCGCAGCCTTATCGAACCCATCGGCGTTCACCAACTTTGCGGGCGAGCACGACGAGGACGCGCTCTACGCGGGGATGATGGATCCCCTGGGTCCATGGGCGATGGAGACGGAATTACAGGTTCCGGACTGTGCGGTCAAAGTGAGGTTTACGGCCAAGCATGAGAAGAGCAATATGAGCGTTAGTCATTGGTTGAAGGTGACTATTAGGGTGGAGAGGGGGGATGATGTCGCGCTGGATAGTAAAGGAAAGAGAAAGCAGTTTGATATCATCATGTGAGTCAGCCCGTGTACACCGGAAAGGGGAGAATCGCAGCTGAAATCCTAGTGAAACGCCGATCAAAATACTCGACTGCCGTGTCAATCCACAGTGGAACTCGCTCCCTACATACTCGTCTAACTCGCCTTCCTCTACGTCGGCCTTATCAGGCATGTGCTCCATCCACGGGACAAAGCACACTGCCGCTTCTGCTTCCTCTCGGCCCTCAGCGCCCACCCGAAATGGCAGCGGCGGTTCACCCTACCCCGGCGCAGGTACATCCCGGATTGACGGCCTCCCCGCGCCGCACACGAACGGTACTGCCGGACCTAGCGGACAGAGGCGGGAAGAAGGGGACGATACCCTCCTCGAGCGGAACATTGTCTTTGATCGGCTGATGAGCGGGCAGGAGACCGAGGCGGGGGATGTACCTCCCAGCTATGGCGAGGCGTTGGCTGCTCCGGCTGGAGGTGGAGCGGAAAGGGGGAGGGACAGGAGAGAAGGGAGTGGGAGTACGAGTCGGAGTGCGACGCCCACGGGCGCGGGGGCGGGATCGGGGGGAAGGTTGGGGAGGGTGAGGGATGATTCGGGGACGGGAGAGTATGGTGGGAGTCGCAGTCGGAGTAGGTTGAGGCAGGAGGTGTAGATAGTGGATCGTAAAGTCATCCAGATGTCAGCTCGAGGAGGGTCTCGGACGCGACGCGAGCGGTTCATGGCTAAAGATTGAACGTCTAACGCAGGAAAGAGAGAGGATCGCGGGATTTGGCAGTTCCTAACTTGTACTGAAGCCACCGGGCGCCTGCGGACTCAGGAGGGACGACATTGAGTGAAATACTGACACCTGAGAGGACGACAGCGATCCACACTGACCAATACAACATGAGTCTAGAGCTTCTGCGCCCCAGACTAAAGCTTATCCGCCCAGACTTCATTCACACTAACAAACCATCCTAGCGGTGTCTTCAGGCTCGAGCTGACCGTTACTGGACTCATTCACCCCTAGGAGCCTCGACGCCTGATTGTCCGCCCGAGCTTTGCAACCATCGGAAGGCGCATGCAGGAGTCGCCGAACGTAGTATATGGAACAATCGAGAAGATCGCTGCGGAGATATCACGCCATCGGTCATTCCTTTGAGGCTCACAGCTGATACGCTGCTTGCCTTCGATCCCTTCATCTCTGCCCTGAGTCACACGTAGCTCGCCATTTCGGAACGCAGGATGGACTACCGACCTTTCTATCGGCCCGCTCATTCTCACTCTCTTCACTACATATATCCCTTCCTCCTATCCCAATTCTCACTCTACCGATACTCATTTGAACTTTGCAGTATGGACGGTGAGGTCGCGCTTGCACCAGTTCCCTCGCCGCCAATATGCACTAATTTCAGTGACTACCAACGATCGTGTCAGAGAAGACTTCCACCCCAGATTGACAGAGGACTCACGGGCGCAGCGTGAGTAAACGTTGGATCTGTACGCAGGCCGCTACTGACGTAAAAAAGGCTACCGAACGGGCATGGAGACCGCGATGGCGCTTCGAGGCATTTTTGTCTCTCTGATGGATGATGTGTGCCCGAAAAGCTCAAGCCCAAAGATGTCGGAAGAATTGTGCCTTCTACTGGGGAACAAGGATATCCCTGAAGAGTAAGTAGTCCTCGCGACTAGCACGACCCCCACATGTCAATTGCCGTCGAGGCTAACTCAGACCAGGATCGTGGCGCCGTGGCGCGGGTACAGGGTCGCGAAGGCCGTCGAAGCAATCGCTCACGCTGCCGCCTTGTCGGAAGAGGAGACGTGTGCGATGTGAGTTCAGAAATATCAGCACCAGTCGACGATCAGCACGACTCTGCGGTGCGTTCGCTGAGATCATAGCCTCGAGGTTGTCACAGAGCTTGAAGGAGAATGCCACAAGGTATTTGAGGGATGCTGTCATCTACCAACAGACGGTGGCGCTTCTGGCCACCCCACACCAAGCCACACTTGGACGGAAGACCTGTACCTGTCGTACTGGCCCGAAGATTCACGGCACTCCCTCCTTCGGATGCGAGATGCGATTGGTGAGAGCGATGTCAAGGCATCCCGGCGCGACAAGGTCACTGACAACATCACCAGCATTTGGCTCGCACTGAAGGAGTGCGTACCATAGCAGGTCCCCGCTGACTGACGCAGAAGCACCATTCCCGGTCTGAAAAGGTACCTCGATACCAAACCTGACAAGAGAGCGGAGACCGGCATGGACCTGGACAAGAAGCAGTCCAACCTGATTGAGAGCATTTGGGGGCTCTTCAGAATGGAGAATGGAATCTTGCCGGGCGCTGATTTGGGGACCTACGCGACTGAGAGCGAGCAAGCCCCCTGCGACTCGCTGGGAGCGACATCCAGCCCCATCAAGAGCTTCTGGGATCCTGACTTTGCTGACAACACGCCTGCCGAAAAGCTTCAGCTTGCGGAGAGTCTCATGAGCAAGATCGACCTCTTCTACAAGAACATCGATAGCCTCGTCAACGAGGCACTTTCCTAGAGATGGTTGGGCGCTTTCTGAGTTCCGATTAGACGGAGATAGATGTCTTCTCTTGAGCCCTGATGTTACACGCACCCATTGTTGCTGATGCCTCTGACCCATTCGTTTCACGTTGATCCACAACGCACATCATTCTCCCTTTGCCCATCAGGATAGAGGCACCTCACCGATCCCTTTCGAAGCCTGGAGGGATACAAGTATAGACGTAGCCTTTTCCATGGTCCCGGATCATTTCGTGCGATGGTCACACCGCACTGTATCCAGGCTCCGGGGCACGCGCATCGGTATATCCCGCGTCATGCTGTCCGGTCCTTTCACTACTTGCCCCTCGTACTCTAGCCCCCCTCTGAAGTCTGACTTTACCCCATCCTTTGCCTTGGCTCCGAGCGCATGGAGACTCGGCGGGCTCCCGCGCAGGGCAGGTTCTGGCTCCCTTGATAACCCCTCACGTTGTGGTGAAAAAGGGTGGAAGCCGGGTGATGGCTAGCGAAAGAGAGGAGATCGAGGTGAACCAGGGAGGACTGGCGCACAGGAGAGGGTTCTAATCTGTTGAAGTTTGGAAGGTAGAAGTACAAAAGCAGAATGAAGATGCATTGGACACGATCAGGTCTACTTATATAGTCCTGCTGGCGTCGCTGCGTCGCGACACCGACGCGACGACACGACGCCGACGAGTCGCTGGGACGTCGCTATCACCGGGTGGATGACAACGGGAACCACAGTAGAGTCCGACGAGGTGGACGAGCCCGCGTTGGAAGGGACGTAAGAGGCGGTAGAAGCACAAAAGCAGAATAAAGATGCATTGGACACGATCAGGTCTACTTATATAGTCCTGCTGGCGTCGCTGCGTCGCGACACCGACGCGACGACACGACGCCGACGAGTCGCTGGGACGTCGCTAGACGACGTCTCACGTCTCTATGTGCTACAGGATACTTGGGTGGCGGCGTTGCCTCGCCGCCACTCAGCGCCGTCAGTCCGACACTAATGTAAAGTGTCCGGACACCCGGACAGACAATTCTGTCCGGCCCGTACAGTGACTATCCCGGATATTCACCTAGCGCTATCTCAGATCTAGTCGGCGCCGGCGCGGCGCCGCGACGCCGTGACGTCGCTGCGACGTCGCAAGGACATCCAGCGACGTGCTCCTGTTCTGAGATCTGTCGGCGCAGTCGCCCAGCGACGCGCCGCTATGCTCCTACAGCCAACACTCCCCCTCGTGACCATATGCTCTTGTCCTGGGTCAGGGGTATAAATACCGCCCTGACGCCCGCCCCTGGGTGTCTCAAACTTGTTACCCACTTGTCCTGAATATACCAAGCCACACACCCAACACCCACACACCATGTCCAACCAATCCTCCAGCAACCCTGATCACGCCGGTGTCCCTTTCCCTGACTGGTACAACGATGCCATCCACGCAAAGATCTGCGAAGGGGAGACCGTACCGTTGTTCCAAGGAATGGGGACGGGCGAGTTGAACCGCGAACCATGGACGTCCGAGAGCATACGAGCGTACTGGGCGTAAGTGAGGCCCGGCGTGTCCGGCTGGGGAGAAGCAGGGCGCGGCTGCTCAGGCTCGTCGAAGCTGGCAAGCTGGACGTCAGCACCAGTCAATCAATCAAAGGCGGACGACTCACGAACTCCGCGATCTCAGCATGGATGGCATCGTTGTACCAGTCAGGGAAAGGGACACCGGCGTGATCAGGGTTGCTGGAGGATTGGTTGGACATGGTGTGTGGGTGTTGGGTGTGTGGCTTGGTATATTCAGGACAAGTGGGTAACAAGTTTGAGACACCCAGGGGCGGGCGTCAGGGCGGTATTTATACCCCTGACCCAGGACAAGAGCATATGGTCACGAGGGGGAGTGTTGGCTGTAGGAGCATAGCGGCGCGTCGCTGGGCGACTGCGCCGACAGATCTCAGAACAGGAGCACGTCGCTGGATGTCCTTGCGACGTTGCAGCGACGTCACGGCGTCGCGGCGCCGCGCCGGCGCCGACTAGATCTGAGATAGCGCTAGGTGAATATCCGGGATAGTCACTGTACGGGCCGGACAGAATTGTCTGTCCGGGTGTCCGGACACTTTACATTAGTGTCGGACTGACGGCGCTGAGTGGCGGCGAGGCAACGCCGCCACCCAAGTATCCTATAGCACATAGAGACGTGAGACGTCGTCTAGCGACGTCCCAGCGACTCGTCGGCGTCGTGTCGTCGCGTCGGTGTCGCGACGCAGCGACGCCAGCAGGACTATATAAGTAGACCTGATCGTGTCCAATGCATCTTCATTCTGCTTTTGTACTTCTACCTTCCAAACTTCAACAGAGGGGTATGAGAGGGATACGAGGAGTGTGCCGAGCCGTATAGATGTCGATGGGAGTAGCACCGAGTGTCGAATGGCCAAGCTGCAGGTGAGACAGAGCAAGAGCTACATGAACATGTATGTGGCTAGTGCTATGTACGGTGATTGACGATCTATCCAACGCTTAGCCATCCATGGCTCTCGTCAGCCTCGCCTGTGTGCTGTGCACGGACCTCCTCATTCCTCGTTGTGTGGCGGAATTGTATCAAGCCTGCGCTTTCCCCACAACCCCCTCTCACTTGCGGTGATGACCCCATCACCCTGAATGTCTCCCATCGAGGGAAAGCGCTCTTTCGGCTGCCTACCAATGTACCATACCTCGCAAGGGCAGGCTCTCCATTAGCAACGACCTCGATGTCGAACAGCTCAAAGGCTGTGCGCAAACTGATTCCGCTTCGCCGCTCTCGGTCGCAGACTGATGCGGTACTGGATCTAGGGGCTCTTCCTTTCCATCTACTCATGGTTGAAGTACTCCTAGTCGTTACTGCCAACAGACCATCCATTTGGCTTAGTGTGCTTGACGCTTGTTCGAGTACGGCGAGTCCAGCTGGGATTGGCTCGCTCCGCCTCTCGAGGTGTCTGATCTGGCGTTGACAGCTTTTAGCTAGTCAGTGCTTCGTCAGTTATTGAATTGTGACCATAGTCAGTTGAATAAGGACCAGGGTACCTATTGCATACTCTGGCTGGCATCTATTGCTACCATTTAACAATCCTTGGGTGCCTTTAGGCTGGGTCTTTGCTCTTCTTCTGGAACCGCTCGTGAGGGGGTTTCCAGTTCCTCCCCTTGTACCCGCCTCTGATGTCAGGAATGGGCAGTGACTCCCTCGACCTCTTCAGTTTGTTCTCCATGCTCTCTTGAACAATGGGCACCTTCTTGACCTCCTCCTTCGGCGCGGCGACAGGGTCGTAAACCACCTTGTACCCATAGAGGCCTAGCACTCCATCCATCGTCTCGTGCTCCTCCAACGCCAGCGCCTGGTGATCCACCGCCATGATCGCCTGACAGTCCAGACCATGCTCGTTGATCTCCGTGGACTCGGCCCACTGGTTGACGTTGGCCAGGTCGACTTTCCGGACGATGTCCATCAGCTCGTGCCTGAGCCATTCCACCTCGACGATTCCCCGGCGGCATCCGTTCTTGTTCCAAAAAGGGCTCAAGACCATCAGCTCCTTGTCATTCCGGAAGTAGCGGTTCTTCCGGAAGTCCTTGGGGTTGCGCAAAACGGTCCCTCCATTCGCATGGAAGTGGGGCTCGAAATGGCAGGTGGTTCCTTCCGGGTGTAACTCGGACGGTTGAAATTGGAGAGCAGGAGGTCCCCCGGTAAGCACCATTGAAATGCAGAACGGGCAACCCCACTCCTTCCTCTTCCTTTCCTCCTCCGCTTTGGCCTTGTCCGCCCTCTGCTGAATAGCGGCGAGGTTGGCCGCGGCTTTGGCTTCAGCGGCGACAAGCTCTTCCGCTTTCTCGCGCTTGTATCTTTCGAGGATGCTTAGTCCAGACTGGACCTTCTGATCTGCGCCTGAGTCAGCATTCCCGATCCCATTGTTTTGAGTAGTGTCAGCCGCACCGGGATGGTTAGGTGGGTTAACTTTATCATCTCTCATCTCCGACCAGGGCTCTCCGCTCTTGCGAGCTTCGGGCATAAGAGGCCGAAGGAGGAGCGATGGCTGAGGTCATCAGCAAGATCCTCTCAAGTGGATACATCAGGCCCATCAAGTATGATCCCGAGTATCTGAAGACTCACCCCATCATAGTTGCCATAGACGCAAGTCAAAGTGGTGTTGGCGCAGAGCTAGCCCAAGTCGACGAGAACGGGGTGGGAGCCCTGCTAGATTCGTCAGCAAGTACTTTAATGAGGTACAAAGAAGGTACTCACAATCCAAGCTTGAGCTATTCGGCGTCTTCGTCGGCTTGCTCGCGCTGAGGATATGGATACACGGGTGCCGAATCGTCCTTGAGCACGACTGTTCGTCCCTCAAGCAGATGGTGAGCGCTCCGAGCCACTCGTCGGCGGCAGAGTCTAGATGGTGCATGAGCATCCTATCTCATGACATTGTGTGGAAGCACGTACCTGGAGTAAAGCATAAAGTCCCAGACGCGCTGTCGAGGCGTAGTAGGCAAGAGGAAGACTCCAGCGACGAGGACCTCGAAGAACCCATCAATATCCGATGCAATGTGGGTGACGTCGAGACCGACGGCACTGGCAGCGACGGGGATGATGATGATGACGAGGAGAGTACCGGGGTCGGCACTCCATATGTTGGGGAGTGGGGGGAGCTGTTCGCTTTTCTGAAGTATCAGCGCACTCCAGCCGGACTGAATGAGAAGGCAAGAAGGAGGTTCTTCTCCAGAGCTTTGGGATACACCCTCTTGAAGGGGAAGATCTACAAGCTGAATAGCAAGAATGGCTTACCAAGAGAGCTCATAGTCGAAAGGAATAGGCAGCTGGCCATCCTAGACAGCCTCCATGAGGGAGCAGGCCACAAAGGTCGAGCCGCTACCTATGCCAAGGTGTGGAGCAGGTTTTACTGGCCTAATCAGGTGAAGGATGTCGAGGAGCACATCAGGTCTTGCGCTGAATGTCAGCACAGAGACTACCAGAGATATGAAGGGGAACTCACTAGCCCCGAAGTCCCCACCCTCTTCGGTCAGATCCACATCGACTGCACCAAGGTGGCGCGGAGAAGAGACATGCCGCCAGGAGTCCCTACTGTGCTAATTCTCGCAAGAGACAGCCTGACGGGGTGGTGTGAAGGAGCAGCCCTGCCTAACCAGAAGGCAGAGACTGTAGCCAATTGGTTCTTGGGACAAGTGATCCCAAGGATAGGATTGATAGGACAATGTACTGTTGATCGAGGAACAGAGTTCAAGGGGCAGTTTCAGTCTGTCCTCGCCAAGTACCACATTAAGCTCGTCCGCAC